TGATTTCCAGAGGCTTTAAAATTCAGTATCTGTCAACTTTTATACACTTGCATATAAATATATAAAACGTCATTATCATGATCATTTTCTGTCATGGGTAGCGTCACAGAATAACAACCACCTGCATTCAAAAGTAATTTCAATATCAGCTTTTCATATAAATTTGTTGTCAGTTCTGAATTAATTAATTAAAATATTTTCCTCTCCCGCTGTCTCTCCCTTCTCCACTTTTCTCCTCCCCCCAAGGTGACCTTGTGATTCCGGAGTGTGGCTCTCGACCATCGCCTGCATTTCCACACTCCTCTGTTTGTCTGTTTGTGTATCTGTGTGTTGACAGGCGGAGGGAGGAAGGCATGGAGGGCAGAACCTGGTGGGGTCTGGGGAGGGGGATCACCATCGTGGAGCAGGATCACGGCTGGGTGAGGGATGGGGGGGGAGTCTGGGGGGTCTTTGCTGTAACATGATGTTTATTCTCGTGATGTATTTAACTGTAGAAGACAACAGAGGATTGTCTGTTTGGTTATACGAGAAAAACTTGAATACAAATACCAAAACATTCGTTGACGAACATTTAAGAGAAACCTTGTAATGGAAAAAGACTTACATTTATGGAGAAAAAAAAATTGTAGTAATATTTAACTTGGGAGAATGTATTTGTCTGTGCTGTGTAAATATCAACATGCGATTATATGTACACAGTTGAATAATTGTGCACTCCATATTAGTTGTTATACAACAAATGTTGAGCACAGAGTTATTCAATTGCATTTATTTTGGTTCTTTTTAGGAGCTCACATAGTTTGACGTTTGCCCTTCAAGTCCCTTAAATTATTCACACCACATTGATGGTTTTATTTATTCATCTCAGAATCAGTGAATTTGTTTCTTGTTTCTTTTCTTTTTTTAAATTCCTCATGTCATGGAAAATGCGATTGAAGTGTTAAAAAGGAAAATGAAAAGAGAATTATCAGTGAGCAGAGAAAGATTAATATATAATAGTAGAAGTGAATGGATGACATCAGTGGGGTACACGTAGGTTGTTTCCACTTTATTTATGTTTTTATATAAATATTTTTCCATCAAATATCACAGTCAAGAGAGGATGAACTCTCGTTATACACAGAACATGTTAAAACTGACATACAGAAGTCGAAAATAACATAGGGTTAAGAAAATTAGTGAGCATGGTAGCATCTCGTGTTTGCAGTGCTCTATAGTGTACTATCGGTATGGAATTTGTTAATTGGGGCAGAGAACAACAGTTATAGAAGTGTGTGTTTGTTTATTTGTTCAGATTTATGTAACGGCATCCAACACGTTTCGTCGGTGAACCCCTCATTCTGTTTGTGATCGCCTTTTTGTGTCGTCCAGAACGTTTAAGACAGAGTCATATAGTTTTTTAAATGGTGTTTCTATTACACATGCATACTCACAATGTTAACATGAACAGGTAAATGAGAATAAAGTATATTACTGGTAATGCCATGGTAACAAATATTATTAATATTAGGCGGTCTGAACAGTATATCTCCATATATACTTCTCTTGCATCCTCAATCCTTCTTTATCTATTCTCTTTCAGAAGGCAACTGAATTTACTGCATGCATCTTTACACATAATATCCTAAAGCATCCCTGAACATATTTGAGAGGCTGAGGCTCAAGGCTACAGGAAAGCATTAGACTACAAATTAACATCTGTCTAATGATGTCTGATCCATCATAGTGGTTACTGCACAGCACACACAGCAGCTCTGCTCTATTCTACTCAAAGCACAACGTTAAGTGCTGCAATAATGACTTCTCTCCAGATTTAAATGCACCCGTCCTACTGCCAATCCTCTGTTTGGATATACAAGATCGTGTTTGCCAAATAGTAAGAGATGTGTCTTGATTGCTAGTTTTGCATCCACAGTCCTCATCAGAGTGAGTCGTCCTCCACCTCCAGTATATTGATCCATCGTTCACTTCTTTTTTGTTTATTTTCTAAATCAGGTTCTTTGGTTCAGGCAGTGTAGAAGCCCCTGGCTCTCTCTCTTCCTCTAGCCGCCCCTCCCCACTTCTGTTTTTTTTTTCTCTCTATGTCCTTCACTCTTTTATTGTAGCTCTTATAAATATGCTGAAATGAAATATACTCTGTTGTTAGTGGTGAATGATGTCTTGTGATACTCTCTACGCCTTTGGATAGTGCTGTGTTTATTGTGTATGATGTATTCATATTAGTATTTATGATAATGATAAGTCAGAGAAAAAAAATATCCAAGACTCTCCAGAATTCTGCTGTATTCTTATTATATGGGATCCATGTGAAACAAAAATGAAATAAACTTGAAATTATTCTGTTGAAGGTTAAAATGTGTACTTCTGTTCATAGGAGTTGTTTTTATTTTATTTTGCTTCACTGAGTTGAGTTTACTAAAGTTATGTTTTAAAATGTTGAGGTTTCATCAATAGAGGAAACAGAAATAAACACCTCTATATTTCAGAGTGCATCAGGTGGTTAAACACTGTAATCCAATATGTAGGTTAGCTGAACCAGTACATATAAATATTAAACTATATAATGTGCATTTCCTGTAGAAGGTGCAGTGTGATTGCTGACAGCTCTTGCAGCTTGTTTTGTGTAGTGGAAAACAGAATTAGAACTATACACCCATCCAGATATGGCGTTCACATGGCAAAAAATATCCTTTGTGATATCACATTGACCTTTGACCACCAATCACTTGACACCATGTTTTTAACCTGAATGACCGCTGAGATCCTCCACTGGAGCCGCACTTCTGGTAGCGAAACATTTAAGCTAAAAACATGTTGTAAATAAAACCGTTTCCAGGTCAAATTTGAATGTCGGGGCCCAATGTTTTTTTCTGTTGTTTACTTTTTACATTTGAAACTTGTTGGATTTGGCTGCAAAGCTGTTTACCCCTGTAACTCCAGGGGTGTTTCGTGGACTCAAACACTTTCACCCACCCCCTCCATCGTCATAATGGTGAGTCGATGATGAGTGACGTCGTTGTTGATTTTCCCGAGGTGCTCCTGAAGGCAGCGGCTCAACGGGTATCGCGAGTGGTGGGTTTTCCGGGCCGCCCCTGAACGCCTCAGCTCGGTGCCCAGCAGTACCAGAGGCTCCTGGGTGAAGAAGAAGACAACGCCCCGCGATCAGACGCTCAGTCCCCGGGTCCCTCAGCTCCTCTGCTCCCCGGCTCCTCCCTCACACTGTTCTTTCCGAGGCAGATCCGCTGTGACCGTGAAACCAACCGGGGATTATTACACCCTCAGCAGCCCCCCCAGCTCTTCCTCCCCCTGGCTCTCCGGAGAAGTTGACTCAACAGAAAAACTAACCGTCCGTCCGACGGTTAGCTTAACTTCCCGCCGCTAACTTAGTTCGTCCGCTCGGCTGTTGGCGTCGGAAGCTTTATTTTTTTTTTTACTCTCGCTAGAAATAAGTTAACTGTCGCAGAATGGCGGACGCGACCACCTCCAGCCCCGGAGCCAACTGCCTGGAGAAGATGACAAGTTACGTGAAGACCCAGAAAGGTGTGATCCTCGCGGCAGAAATCGTAAGTTCAGCCCCGAGCGGCTAACTTTCACTGGAGCTACACCTCAACGTGTGTGTGTGTGTGTGTGTGTGTGTGTGTGTGTGTGTGTGTCTGTCTCTCTGTTTGTGTGTGTGTGTGTGCACAGATGTCGGGTGCTTGTTAATTGATTTATGCCATTTTCTACTTTTTCTTTTTAATGGTGTTCTTGTGAGCGTGGTCGACACGGAATGTGGAGCATGTGTTGTGGAGAGGGGAGGGGGAGGGGTTGGGGGGGTCTCTCACCTGTCACATGTGCTCCTCTTGTTTTCTCATTTGACACCAAAGCACCGAATGTGGTGTGTTAATGGCAGAGATAAGGTTATGCGGGTTAACTGCGGCCACCGTCACCCAACGTCACCCACCGTCACAGGCCGCAGACTATTTGTAGGCTGCAGATGAGCACTGGTCCAAATATGGTGAAGAGTAAATGCAATGTATTTCACACAGTAGTAAAAAGTGATTTTTCTCCTCCTCCCTCCTCCTCCTCCTTCTCCTCCTTCTCTCTGCCACATGAGATTTTTTTATTTTGCACATCTGGCAAACAGGAGGAAAGTGAAAAGCCACAGCAACACCTCAGCAGCAACAATGAGGGACCTGTGGCACGAGGGCAACCGCTTCCTTTGCGGAAAACTTTTTATTTATTCTATCTGTGACCAGTATTTTCACATGGAGGCCTTTTGTTTGCATTTCACAGCAGCGTGTTCTTCCAACACAGGAGTCACTCTGACCTTTAAGTCTTTACACAAGTTCCAGTGTAGGAAAGTGCATTTATTTCACGCTCAGAGTCATCACTGTGCACATTTGTACTTTGAATGCAAAAATATATGATATATCAGGACCCTACATGGGAACATAGTCAAAGTACGCCCTATCTTGTAATGTTTAAGACAGTGGAAAAACAAGGACGGACCCGCCCCTTTGTCCCCATGCATGCCAACGTTTAATGGCTTCTCCCTTGGCCCATCTCCCATCTCACCCTCCGGTTTCATGGTTATTCATTTGGTAATTTTTTGTAAATCCTGTTGACAAACAAATGAACACGGTAGTTATTACAAGTTAAACTACAAAAAAATCCTGATTTTGACCAACTGCAACAATGAAGTTCCACTTGCCTCAGTAGTAATGAGTCAATAACATAGTTAGCCAGTCTGCATAATAAATCATAATAATATAATAATAATATTAATAAAAAACTTCATTTATAGAGAAGTTTTCAGAATCCAGAAACTGGCAGCAAAACAAAAACAGACAAGTTATAAAATCAACAGTCTAAATTAGAACAATTGCATAAAAACCAACATGGTACGTGAAAACAGAAAAATGAAAATTAAGTCTCTGATAAAAGTATGTCTTTACTTTTGGTACTTTAAGTAACTACAATTTTGAAAGCAGGACATCTACTTATTACAATTGAGTAATTTGAGTGTCGTATGTTTTTCTTTCTTTGCATAAGTAAATGTTTTGAATCCAAGTTTTTATCTGGCTCTCCTCTCTGTGCACATGCTCTGTTTTATCTCAGTAGCCTTCACAGAACTGAATGTGTTACTGTGCCACAGTGTTTTTACTTTCCCCGTTTCTAAAAAGTGAGGAAAGCTCTTTGTGTCAGTGATGAAAAGCTCTGTTCTCATAACTCAGAGAGCTCTTTATAAAGCAGGGTCTCAGATGCGGGTGGTCAGCAGTCCACCCACTCTAAAGTTTCTCTCTTTTTTGGGATGTAATGGAAATTCCAGGCTGTGTGTGAAGTTTGGCCCCTAGGAACAAAGAATGCGTGAACTGCTTAGCACACATCTCCGGTGTGCCATTCAAGGATACATGTTAGTGCTTCGCTGGACTCAACACCCAGTTTGCTCTTCCCTCTGCCTCTCAGGACTCTGCTCCTAAGGAAGTCATCAGTGATTTTGGATATTTGAAATAGTTTACAATGCAGGGAGAGGAACGGGGGAGGGAAACAGGAAGGCAAATGTCGTTAGTGCTTATTATGTCCAATCTAATGGGAAATAAGACTTTCAACCACAGCCGCCAGGATTCCAAGTTTCAGATCTACAGCGAGTTAAGTTTAAAAGTTAAAAGGATTTTTTTTGACATTTCGGGTTGACAGCAAGGTTTCCACGCCCTGTCAAATGACATGTATATAATTTTTCTTTTGTTATATGGAACCTGTCAGTGGCAGGACTAAACTTGAATATGTTTGAAGCAGCAGCACAACATACAGCTCACAGTCACACCCATGTAGAGCAGAGTGATACGTTGTTAAGCAGTGAGTGATAAGTCAGGATGACTCATGCACTGAGTTGATCTTCCACCTTACTGTTGCGCATTATGAATAATAAATGATCAAGTCAATGTTTTCTGACTGGAAATTTCACTGACTGGACATTTGTCCTTGGTTACCCCCTGATCGGAAATTCTTAGAAGGGTGAAACTAGTTTGGTTTCATGTCTTTGGGCGAAGAAATGAAACCAAACTTTCCATTCAGCCCTGAACGCACATGGTAAAGAGTTTAGCCACAGCAAGTGCTGAATACCGCCCCAAAATGTAAGTGACATCCTTAGCAACCATGGCTGTTTTGTGCATCTCTGCACAACACTGTACCTCCTGGCTCTCATATTGCTGCTGACTATAATTAGCCAACAGTTCAGAACAATTTCCCTCCAGTCAGTTTTAAAAGAGCAGCTCATTATAGGGATGTGAATAGATCCGAGCTGCGATTCTTTAAAAGCTGAGCCACGCACACAGATCCATCGCTGTGTGGAAAATAGAAAGGTGTCAACGACTCAGAGCCTTTCTTGTTCTCAGGGACCCATGCAGTGGGTGTTTCTCTGTATGATGGCTACTCTGGCCTGAATAGAGCCTCTTTTGTCTGGGGCCTTGGCCTCGACCAGCTCGCTACTCTACAGAGGCAGTCTGTGCCATTCCCCAGAACACATCAACCACTGATGGGTCGGGCTGTCGGGCTGCGAGTTTGTGTAACAGTTGCGGCGGAGGGGAGGGGAAGCAGCAGTGACAGATGTCGGGTGGGCGTCGAGTCGCTTACATCATGTGTGTATCGTATAGACCGCTGTGATTTGACACTGGCCTCCAAGTTGTCTGTGTCTGAGAATAAAACACTGCAATGTGCAAAATGTGATTCTTTAAAATTTAAGTTCTGACTCAGAATGGATTCATTTAGCGTCACATAATAATAAATTATTTTACCTGCCACAAGAGAGCAATGCAGATAAATGTTTCAGAAAAAAATAATTTTACCTACAGATACAATATAAACAATCAAATACAGGGTAATTCAAAAGGGGTGTGTATATATATAAATATATATGTATATATATAAAAAGAGCAAAAATAACAATTCCAAAAAACAAATATTGACTTAAAGTAAAAGAAAAAAATTGAAGTATATCTATGTATTAATATAGTCAAGCTGTAACAATTAGTTAATTAATCGACTGTCAATAAGTCAATTAACAGACATTTTATCTGTAATTAGCATCAAACTCCAGCTTCTCAAAAATGAGATTTAGTTGATTTTCCTTGTGTTACATTGTAATGAATGTTAAGCAAGTAACATGTATTTATATTGCACCTTTCATAGATACTAAATCTAAGTTTTACATTAATGAAAAATATGTGATCCCAGTAACGTGATTGGTGCCATATGGTCTGGGTTGAGTATTCCTGCAGACAGACACGCCTTGTTGATAAGAGAGGTCAGAGGACAGAAAGGCTACAGTCTGAGATAAACATGCTTTACTACGTGATGGGCAGGAAAGCTTCTCACAATAAACAGCATGGTTCATCTCCAGGTGGATGGACGGCAGCAGGAGCAGACGGGCTCCTGTCCTGTCAGAGAAGATCAGAAATGAAGAAGTCTCTAACACTGGACAGTTGAACACTAGTCTGATGCTATCAACAGCATGAATCGATAGAATTGGCCTGTCCTGTGTGAACCGTCCTCGCTACTGGTGGTGTAACGGTGACAATTAATACTAAACAATCATTGATTTACCACAATATACCATAGTTACCATGACGCTGAGTCCAGTGTACCTCAAAGGACCAGATCTGAATCCAGCAGAAAATCTTTGTGATGTAGTAAAACATGAAATCAGCAGTGTGAACAAATATGTGGCAGTTCTGTGACATAATCATGTCAAGACCGAAGGCCTCAAAGCAGAGTTTCCAACATCTTGCAGAATTAATGCCGCAATGAATTGAGGTGGTTTTAGGAGCAAGCGAGGAACTACTCTGTATCAGGGTGGTGTGCAGAATGAAGTGCTCAGTGAGTGTATGCTCCTGTTGTGTGAAAACGTCTACCCACACAGTTTGACAGCAGAAAGGCTCTGAGCCGCCGGCTGCCCACATTTATGATTTCTCCACGTTGGCAGCGTTTCAGTGGAATGGACTGAGAAGAATGCACTCAGATTTTTTTCCCTCACATGAAAAGATATGACTGATGGAACAAACACTCACTGTAAATCTAATAAGAGGCAGCATGTGATCGACTGACAGTGTGTTATTTGACAGTGTAATGTAATCTAGTGTCAGATTAATAGTGTTTTTGTGCAGAAAGTACTTTTTCTTGACCTTGTGTGGATGTTGAATTGTGAACTGGTTGGAGTAAACACAACTACAACAGTGATGGCTTTGTTGGAGTGATTTACTGTCTGACTGATCTTGACTATTGAGTGGACACTGAGCACTGAGATGACCCGTCCCCTCTCGGGTGAATTGCAGCTGATCTGCAACCTGTGATCTGCAAAGTTTAACACATAGAAGCAGCTAAAACGCAGCATAGATTTCTGGCATAACCTTGACGCATTATGGATCTTAAATCATGCTAGCATCAACCAAAGAGGCCATGTTTTCACCCATGTTTGATTTTCAGCAGGATTACGCGAAAACTGCTGAATACGTTTCCACAAAACTTGGTGAAACGATGGGACATTGGTCAAAAAAATAAATGATACAGTTCTAACGTGGATCTGGACAAAGCAACAGCCCTTTCTTTACCACTGGAATATTAAGGGGACTGATATCTATGAGTCTATGTCATTTAATGCAGCTTGATAGAGTTTATCAGTTGTTGGAGGTCAGAATTATACCTGAGTCTCCTTCTGGTTCTCACTTTATTGTTTTCTCTCCACCTCCCTCTTCTCCTGTTGTCACTCTTAGTTCATCAGTTTAATCATCCTCATCTGCTATGCTGCCTCTATGTATGGAGGCTACTCTGCTGTGGCCATCTGTGAGATGATCTTCGCCATGGTCTTCTTCGCCATCTTCATGATGGAGCTGGACAAGCAGATCCAAGTGGTCAACTGGGTCTGGAGTGTAAGTGTTCAATGTGGATTACCACACACACACACTCACACATGTGCAAGGTTGCACAATGCTTCATCCTCTGCTTCCTCCTTGTGTACAGGATCTTTTCCGTGCCGGTATCGGAGCTGTCCTCTACATCATCACTTCTCTGATCTGTGTCATTGGAGGATCCCAGGACGGTGCTCGTATCGCAGGCGGGGTAAGTTAAGCCACCGTGGTTTCTCAACTGCTTTCTGAAACCTTTCACAATCACAAAATTTTCATAAGTCTCACACTTCCTTCCTTTTTTAAGTCAAGTGGAGAACACATGGCCCTTGTCACAGTTTGCAATGTCTCAGACACATATCTAGAAATCTGTCACTACCAGTTTTACGGTTCAGGTGTTTCAGAGGCTCAACTTCACGTCATTGTGAGCTGTCCCAAATGTTTGATTTTATTGTTGGCCTAAAGTTAGAAATCTTACAAAGCATCAGTTATAAAATGTTTTTCAATGAGATAATAGTTTAACAAAGTGTCTCCAGTATCACTGTTAAAATAGCCACCCATGTTTTGTTGCTTATACAAGTCCAGATTTTATTCTATGATTAATTATTGATATTGATGTCATTGATTAATTAATGTATTTATTTATTTGTTTTTTTATTATTTTTATGATTTATCGTTATCATTTTATGCTACTGTTAGAGCTCTGTCGGTTAAAGGTAAATTTCCCTTTTCCTGACCACAACATTCCCTGTGGTTTGTGTAAATCCAATCTCTGCTAGTTTTAATCCTGCTCTCTTGTTTATACATACACACCTGAAGCTGAGACATCAGCTCCTCCACCAAGGAGGTTGTGTTTTTAACATTTCAGTTGTTTTGTTTCTCTTTCTTTAACATTGTGAGATGGGGTGGGGGTTTTAAACTTTTTTGTTGATTTCTCAGAGATTTCTTTGTGAATGTTGAAAAAGTACAGACATGTTTAGGGGATTGGTATCAATTATTTTCCTTAACGTGGTGGTATAGGGTGTTACAGATGAGAGCGAGTGAGGTATGCGTTGTTTTAATCTCTCTGAAAAGTCTAAACCCTCCATGGTCTGTGCACACACTTTGCTGCAGTACTAAACCTTTGCCACTGGATGATGCTATTTCTCTGATATATGGAAGGTTTCAGCTGCAGTGAAACCAAGACACTGAAAACACTTCATATTGTCATTGTTCTCGTGATGTATCAGGAACACCTTGAGGATATTTCATTAATGAATCCTTCCAAATTTGGCACAGACGTTCACCTACACTCACAGATTACTGACCTCACACTGAGTCTGGAAAAAAAAGTATGATGACTAAAACTGCACTAACTGGTGAAGGCAAACAACCATAAGGTGGTAATTCATGTTATGTCTGCATTACAGTATTTCATTTCAATGTTTGCTGCAATCAAAGTTTTATGAGTCTTATTCTGACCCTGAGTTGTTGTTCTTCAGGTGTTTGGTTTGATCGCCAGCCTGTTGTTCGCTTACGATACTTACACCATCTTCATGCAAATCAAGAGCACGAGGCAGCACACGGCAGCTTCCACCGGTAAGAGCAACAAACATTTTTCACCACGATCCCACGATCCCATAACATGTTCAACAATATATTTATATTCTTCTCTAATCCCCAATGTCTGGCCTTTTTGTCTTGCAGACGACAGAGTTTAAACACTCTAAGACGCTTGTGCCTGTGTTAAAAGCGCAGCAGCAGCAGAAGAAGAAGAAGAGGACATTTATGCAGACGTTAACAAAAGGGTGGAGCAAAGAAGACGATGGACAGTAAAATGAACAGGTCACAGTTTAATCAATTCCACTGAAAGGTGTGAACAGACGACAGATTTGTTTTAGGGGCCTGCGCCTGAGAGGAGGGTGACACAGCCTGAGTGAGTGGTACCAAACATCTGTGACTGCATGTCAGAAGAAATAATGAGGCAATCCTCTCAGAAACCTTTAGTCCAACCTCGATGTACCACTGATTAAAAAAGGGAAAACTGTAAACAACACACGGTGTAAAAGTTTGGTTGATGTCGTCACGCAGCTTGTCTGATACATGTCTACTGTTAATGCACTGCTGTATTAAGTAGTAACTGCCATTTTGAACGTCAGAAGTAAATGACACATGAATGGATGCTTTCTGAGCTGTTTAACATCATAACTATAATCTTCTTGAATTAGATGTCTGTGTTTTCCTGGAGGTTTCTCTGTGGTTTAAACATTTTCTTCCTGTGTGTTACAGTTCCTTAGCCACCCTCTTGTCATATTCATCTTTTACTCCTGAATCCTAAATATTCGATTGGCTCTCCGTCAATTATCATCAAACTCTTGGGTGTTTCGAACTAATCCGAGTTTTGTTTGCATCATTAGACATCCATTAACTTTCAACCACATCATTTGTTATTGAACTAGTGTCATCCTCAAGTTTTACCTGTATACTTTGATTCTTGCTCAGGTCGTGTTCTTTTTTTGTTCTTACATTTTAACACATTTTTAAGGTGCAGAATAATTTGTTTTGTCAGTTGACACTTTTTACAGTCCAGTAGTTCAGTACAGTTTTTGTATGGTTGTTTGAGTACATGTGGCAGATGAAGAAAAAAGTTCAGTTTCTAAAGAAAAAAAAACACATACATGATACAATACAATTTTAATATGTTGTGTAACTGTGTCCTCTGGCCGTTTTCATTATTTGTCCAACTAAAGTGCCTTGTTTTTAAAAAAATTTTTTTTACAGGAGTCTGCCGTGTGTAACTTAAAAATTCAAAGCAGACAAGCTTTGGGAAATAAAAGCCATTTTCACTGGAATTACACTTTTATGTCTCGTACTACACAATCCAACAACTCAACCACCACTTCATCTAATAGCCTATGTGTCTGGATACACTAGGGCTAGACTTGTCATCTAAACGATTGCCACTAGAGGGAAGCAGACTGTTACACATTATCTAGAATGAATTGCTAGATTGGAAACAGCTCCGGTCACTAATCACAGGGAGTTAACGTTGGAAAGAAATAGATAATCATGTAGTTATTGTTGTGTCAGTGTGAGTCTCCCCTCAGGCTGGTGGCGCCCAGATATGATCAGAAATTAACTTGGTTTTTACACAATCACCAGAATCTTGATCGACCTTGTGCAGCACGTTATCGATGATCTTTAATCTCATCTGCACATTTTCTGCTGCACATGCGGTTCCCTACTTTTCATTTCAAGATCACATTATAAAAGCCCTTTGCTTCTTTGTGTCCCTCAACTGCCTTTTGATTGCAATAACTTCTGTATTGTTATTTTAAAGACCTACAGTGGAATGATAATAACTTCTGGGTCATACTGACTTGTCAAACAAATTCCCCATGATGCCTCTGCTGTAGCAGCCTGAGTTCAGTGATATCTTCCCCCTCAAGCTTATCTGTGTTGTTCATAAAGTTTAAAGAAGCGTCAGGGTTTTCACCAAGCAGCAGATTGAAGCAGACTGTGCAGAATCAGTCAACTTCCTTGTAGCCTGGTGAAGTAAAGACTTTGCATCAGTTTGGTGTCCATGGTTCAGGTCTGTGGACACAAGTAGGAGCTTTGTCAAGTTAGATTTTTACTGCCAGGACACCTGTTAAGCGTTGGCACTTTCTAAATAAAAGCGAGATTAGTCTGTTAGAAAACTTAAATAAATATTAAAAGTAAATCTTTTGACCCATAAATGTTCATAAAATATATTCACTCAACATTCATCAAGTTGTCGTTTAGTATTATTTTAGCTCAATAAATGTGAAAAAGAGGGGAGAGAAGAGCGAGAGACCAGGATCAGTTGTGTAACCGTCATATTTATAAATTCTGTCAGACTGGTTGTTAGAATGAATTTTCAAGTTTTATTTGTCACATGCAGCTTTCACAGGGTCGAACAGTGCGATGAAAAGTGTTGGACAATACTAAACTATATACATTTAAATTTGCAGTGTGACATTCGGGAAATTAAGCAACAACTTTAACAGTATTGAGTGTACGTGAATAGTTGTACGTGAATAGTTGGAGCGATATTTGCAGATGTAATCATGTTATTAATGAAAGCAGCACCAGCCAACAACTATAATAATAATAATAATAATATTTTCAAAGTAAATGTTATATCTTTCTGTTTTAAATGCTGTCCACAAATAATAACCAAAAAAAATGACATGCTGTTACATCGGACATGTTTAACTTGATTAAACTTTTTCAGATAGTTTTTCATCCATTCATTCATTCATTCATTCATTCAGCAGTTTCACATCTGGATCCTGCAGCTGCACAACGAGTAACTACGGTTTTACTTTGAAAAGCTCCACCAGAAGTCGCAGGCGCCTCTCTGGGACTAACTTGTCATCGGTGGAGTGTGTGTGTGTGTGTGTATATATATGTGTGTGTGTGTGCGCGGCGGAGCGAGGAGCTCAGAGGAGTCAGACAGAGACATCATGTAGACGGACACACACCGTGTTGTGTTAAATCTCCTCACGTCTGTTTCCTGGTTTTTATTCTTCTCTCGGGAAACGGTTTGTTTCCTCGTCGTCGCCATCATGTTCCTCCGCGGGTCTAAGAAGCGACGCTCCAGCCGCTCGGTGAGTTTTCTGTCTTTTCACTTTTACAACTTCACACAAACTCTCACAGGGTCTAAAGTTCCGCCACAGAACACATCGAGTGTTTTACCTCCACGTTCTTTTCTCGTTTTTGTGTTTTCAAACGAACTCGTTGGGGGTTTTTTTCAACCTCAGAAAAGAGTCCGGAGACTCTGTCCCACCTTCACCTGGCGCCTGTGCGGGTGGATTGTTGTTGAGGGAAACTGTCCCTCTACTTTCGAACACACACAGTTTCGAGTTGTTGTTGTTTGAATCGTCCTTCTCTGGAAAACTCCGCTCTCTGTTTCCTGACTCGGTCCAGGCGCCTCAGGTGAAGTCAGGAGGGGTCACGCTACGTCATGGCGTTGTACCTGAGCAGGTTGTGGGATGTGCTGGATGGAACAGGAGCATGTGTCGTGTTTTCATCACGGCAGCAAATTAAAGCTCTGTTAAATCCTCAGCCGCAAACACACAGGCAGGCAGCTTACACAGCAAATGAGGCTTGTTTCCAGAGCTCACAGCTGTGTGGCCCTGGTGACACATCTGGATCTGCAGCAACTTCCTACGCTCACATTGAAGTGGAGGAAGAATATTAATTCTTCTTCTCCTCAACTCTTGTGTTATAATTAATATTAACTCTTAATGACTGAAATACAACTAGACGTATAGAAATTGAAGTTAGACAATCTGAGACAAGGCGAGTTTATTTGTGTAGCACATTTCAAGAACAAGCCATTTCAACGTGCTTTGCATAAAATATAAGAGGCGTCAAGACAAAACAGCAAGGGAGCATTTAAAAACATATTTCAACATAAGTGCACGTCTTCTCTGCGTTGTTTATTCTGTAATATAAAAGTTTTCATGTCTGCAAACATCTCTCTGTGAAAGGATCCAGATCCTGCAACAGGTCCTTTTGCGCAAGTGCTCTAACAGCATGTAAACACTCTGACACCAGTTCCCACCTCACACTCACAACAACTAACTACAGTATTCATGAAATCATGAATATTTGATGTGACACTTCATTACACCAGCACCTCGAGAGTGAATCACAGATCATTTCACTACACAGATGTTTATAAGCGCAGAGTATATCTGTAATACTTCTAAAAGATGCATGTCTTTGTCTGTACTTGTTTGCAAACTAATTATTTGTAGATTATAAGGATGTAATTAATGATTCATTCCATTGATACTGAGTAAGTAAAGTGGATTTTTCTAGCACCGACAGATCAGTCATCACAATCTGCTCCACAATAAAAGACACAGTGAAGACGTATAACAATAATTTAAATGAAATAGAGATAGAAATTGATTCAACAAACACAATTAAAGGGCAACTTATACCTGATAAAACTTTTATAATTAAAATAATTAATTATTTTTCTGTTCAACTAATGGATGAACCAGGCGATTGTTTCAGTCGGAGTTTGGGAACATAAGGATTAGATATTGCTATCAGATGTTGCAGATCTAAAGACATGGTGGGACACTTGTTTTCCCATTGATTGATATGGTGGACGTACGCTCAGATCTTAGACTGATCTCTAAGAAACAGTTTTGTTGTCACCTTGTTCTCGGGCCTGGAGACACTCTGCCTGCAAACTGTCTGATCTTGTCCAGTGAGGAGAGGTGCATCGACTCCGCATGCCGACCCCTGACCTCTCCTGTTAATGTTTAACCCCTCCTGCACCGCAGCACATCGAGGAGAGCAACAAAATCCAAATGTCACATTTCTCTTATTTTGGTAAGAAAAGCTCTTCAGAGTCCTTCTCTCGCACCGCAGGAGGACGACTCTCTTAGTGAGGACCCAAAGACAACGTTCAGGTGTATTACTTCTCTTATCACAAGTCGGCCCCGGCTGAGTCGACGTGGTCGCCTCCTGATGTCAGATAAGAGAATTGGCCGCCTTTCAGTTTGCCCATTACCTGGTTACACGGTTACTTGGTAGCAACAGAGAGCTCAAGCAAACGGAGGCCATGTGATGAAACCTGCTGGAAAACAGTGAGGGAGCTGATACGAAACATCAGCGTGAGCATGTGAGCTCATGTGAACTTGGGATTGTAGTATTTACTTTACCCACGTTCGGTTTAGAAGAAACTTCCTACCACCACTTCCCTCACATCCTTCACGCACAGCACAATAGGCAGACCTCGTCGTCGGGTCACGAAGTTGACGCACTGTCTTTTTGCGGAAGACTGAGAGGAAACGCATGAGAAACCCTTTACGTCTCTGTGCAGCCTTGACACTGGCGTCATGATAAGGAGACTTTCAAGGCAAAGTAACAGTTAGTGCCAGCGGGTAATGTTCAAGGTTGACATGTGGTTCTTAAAAATAGAGTCAGTAGATTCAAGGTTCCTCCACAATTAGATTAACAAGGAGGAAACAACAGCTGAGAGGTGGCAGGAAAAATAGTTGTTTAATTTTCTAATCACATGCAGTGTTAATTAGAAACAGGGTGAACGGTTTCATCATCTCCAGGTCGTCTTTCATTAATTAAGTCATTTAAATTTGAAAAGCACCAAAACATGATATACATTATCTCACTTTGCACAGAAGGTCGAGAGTAAGTTAAGTATTAAGTAAAATAAACAGAAATGGACTGAACATTTCAAATGTTCTCGTGTTGTCTGTCCGCACACAACGGGAAAAAAAGCAATTTCAAGTAAATTTAAGGCTTTTCTCAGGATTCCTAATCCTTTATTATTGATTGCGTCACTTGTACCCGTCCTTATCTCTTAATTACAAACTTGAAGTGAGTGAGAAAGTCACAAGTTTATTTTGTCGTTGTGGACGGTCCGGTGGAGAGTGAGGGAGCGTCAACGAGCCGCAAATGAAGAGAGACGTTACTTGTGTATCCACAGTTTGGACTTTTTCCAAACCGCATCATTTTGCTGAGCTTAATCTAATTTGAACAGACATCCATCGGATCCACCTCCCTGAGAAATTCAAGCAGAAAATAATTAGAGGAGGTTTTGCGAGACACAGTGGACGTCGTTCTACATCAGCTAACATTACACTGCCTGTTTCCAATCAGAAAAATGAACCTCAGTTGCCGGAGGTGGTGTTTTTTAAACTCACAGCTGATCGAATCTCTGCCTCTGGAGTTCCAGATGACTTGTTATCTCAGTATTTGTTCCAGACATCAACATGAACATCACTGTTATCAAACTACTGTGAGTGAGGTAGCTGTATAATCATGCTAATTTCCATATGTTGTCCAAAGCCAGTTCTTCAGAGGCAAACCTGAAACAGAAGTACATATATATTTGTGTGCAATACAATGCATACCATTCAAAGTAACTGTACAACAAACCCATGATTATCTCCACCCTATGCTCTCAGGTTTGTGTTGTTGCCTCTCCGGTGACTCTGCAGTCTGTTACATATTGCTCGTGTTTGGATTCTCAAAGAGGTTCGGAGGCAACAACGAGATGTTCTCTGTCAACACACGATCATAAAGAAGTCGTGACGTAAATTCATTAAAGCTGCTCCCACTTCTCAAACTCCACTTTTGAAGAAAAACAGGTCAAACATTGCCCGTGACCGAGTGGAGGAGAATGACGCTGAGAACACGAACAGATAAAGTGTCATTTCATTTCTTCCCGGTTTGAATGGAGAGTCAGTAACACCCTATCATCCCAGGTCGGCTACAGTTTCCAGAAGCGTTTTTATCCTGCAGCTATCCACCTTTATTTTCTGTAACCTTAATAAATGCAATATTTGTGTAGCCGTACACCAGGGTTAAATGTACAGTGTGTGTGTGTGTGTGTGTGTGTGTGTGTGAGTGAGAACTAAATAACAACTGACAGGTTCAGTCACCCAGAAATCTCTGTACGCTTCATTTAGCCCGTCTTGTCACCTTTCATACCTGGTCCTGTTAACATACTCAAAGTCGTGATTAATAAGGCTGCATGACACAGGTTGTACTGTATCCATGTGTGTGTGTTGTTTTGCATTGTGTACACTATGGCATTTTAAAGTCGGCATGTGGGGACTATTCTGGACTAACTAGTTCATGTTGCTACGAAACTGGATGTTGTGCGGTGAAGCTCCCATCTCCACCCTGGAACCGCTCTGAAAACTTCACACACAGAAAGATTTCTAATTGAAAAACACATGATTAATGTTCAAAGGTGCAGGAAAACAAGCCGCTAATCTCTCTGTGGTTTCTCGGTGCATTAGTAAAGCACTTAAAACCCTTGCTACAGCCCCCCTGCAGACCTCAGTTATCAGTTAGATAAGCAAAGCAAACTCCAAGTCGTCCTAATCAAAGTCATTCATTGCAGTTTGATAATGTTCTTTGCGAAAACTCTGCTTGGGAATGAGGCTTGAAGTGAATACTTCTGGTGAAGTTGTTCGTGCTGCTGTTCTCGTGTGGGGTTGGAAAAGGAAACAGGTATGCACAGGTACCTCGCTGTGTCACATATCTTCATTTTATTGCTTTGCTCATTAAACTTGGCGTCATGGGAGTATTTGTCTTCATGTGAAACTCGCTCGTGTGTTAAAGGTAAAGTTCAAGTTTCTGTGTTTGAAAGTAAGTTTAACGTTAAGTTCTGTGCACGAAGCTCATTTAAAAACATTTCCAGCTGTTGCAGAAAACAATGAGGAAAATATTCCAGAAAAACAAAAGTGTCAGAGAGGAAACCAAACACAGAGATATCACTATGCAATTACTGTTTTTACCAATCTGGTAAAAGAGCTAATAATTAACATAGAAAAAAAAAATCCCTATCAACAGTGAACTCTTCACATGCACCAGATATGAGAGGTGCAGTGGAGTGGAGGCATTAGAGAGAAAGAAAGTGGAGACTGCACTGAGAGGGAAAGGGTGCAGTTCTCATCCTGTGTCCGCTTCCTTCCTCTCATCTCTAAAAAGAGGCCTGTGTCTGCAGAGTGTGCCCTATGCACACACACACACACATGCATACACACACACACACACACAAGGCTGCAGGAATAGCAGTGAGATAGGCGCTAGTTGGTTTAGTGCAAAGCTTCACATGCTGGTGGCTTAGTCAGATGCACCGCTCAGCACTTTTGGCGAAAGGCACTTTTGAGATTTGACTCCACGTGTTACATATTCCTCTGTTATCGCTTCAGAACAGGCAGCGTGGCGCTCCTCGGACTCAAAATTCAATTTACCCGTGAGGCTGAATTTGAGGACTGATGTGAAATTAACAGGTTTACCCAGAGGTTGAGGAATGTCAAGTTTAACTCCCACTGCAAGATGTAGTCCTGCTTCTTAACCCCATTAATCATGTGTTTTTCAATTAACCCCGGTTAAGAAGCAGTGAGGAGGAGCTGCAAGAAAGAAAATGATTCTTATTATGATTTTCAGTTTCGATGCAGTTCCAGTACCTGCAGTTCAATATCTGCCACTACCAGTTCTGATACTGATACTTTCTGAACATCATCATCATCGTTGTTGTAGGTATTATGAAGAAGATCACATGAACACTTCCTAGAGAAAAAGCTTTACTATTGGATTAATACAGGATTTACTTGATCCACAGCATTTAGTAATGAGCTTTAAAGTGTTTTATTACACATTTATAGTTGTATTTATTACTAAAGGATCAAACAGTGGAATCTGGATGCGTACGTCAGTGTGACATCTGCTCAGTTACGTCAGTGTCGGCACAGGATACCGGATATCGGTCAATCGATTATCAATACCGCTTCTCCTCTTTAGGCAGATCATGTTTAGACTGTGGGAGGAAGCCGGAGTACCCCACAGATACCTACAGCCACAGAGACAACATTGAAACTCTGCACAGAAAGACAACGACTGAACTGGGATTCGATCCTGGAACCTTCTTGGTGGATTCAGAATAACCACCCGACCACTGGTGTAGTTTTTATTTGCTCTCAGTCAAATGCGTCTCATCTATACAGTAGCACTCACACGTTACGCCTTCATTTTAACTCTGCATGTGACGTCATTAAATCATCCATAGACGACCCATAATCCATCACAAACGCTGCTCAACTGAAGGCTGCAGTGATGGAGTCTAAGTGCATTCTGCTGGTGGCTCAAGTGTAAACATCACTCACCCTCTCACTCGATGTGATGTTGATGCTTCTGTGGCCATGTGCGACACCGGCGGTGTGTTTCAGCTGTATTTTCTGACTCGGTATTAATCGTACTCCACGATGTGAGCTGCAGTGAGCCTGTGTTTTGTTTTCAGCAGGAGGAAGAGGACCCAGACAGAGGTCAGCCCTGTATGCGCTGCGGAGACCAGTGCCCCGGCTTCCGTGTCCATGGCTGGAGGTATGAACTGTAGGACTCATAAACACTGACGGTGTTGCCTGTTACCTTTGCAGGAAATGTTTTTCTTCCACTCTGTTTGGAACGGTCACAATCTCTTCTCCAGATTTCTGGATTTTGTGCAGCCATTGTTAAGATTCAGCTTCTTAAAAGCACCGTCTGATAACTAAATATTTCGGACTAGATTATACCTTCAATAAAACAAAACTCACTATTCTAAATATAGTCTGACCAATAGATTCTTCGGGGCTGATGCTGATACAGATATCAGGTAGTAAAAAAAAATTAAAGGTTGACAGTAATTCTCTAGATGTGGCCTCATGACAAGGAAATGTAATTGAGACAAACACAGATACTGTGAATGGCTCATATCGATCGGTCTCTTATTTTATTGCTCTGTTGTGCACAGGAATGCCGATAATATTGGTGTGTTGACTCCCTCACAAAAACAGATGCTCTTGTTTAACTTTTCATTTTCTTTCACTGACAAACTACTTGTTCTACCGAAGACGTCGCAGTGTGTAGTGTGTGGCTGTAAGCAGGAACTAAATCTGTATCTGATTTATTCATTAGATTTATTGATTTTAAGTTTGTGCACGCTGGTTTCTTATTAATGCATATCAGCGTATGTGAGAACTGTTGTTCAGGAGTTAAACTGTGTTTCAGGGTGTATTTGCAAACAACTCTGAAGGGACAGCTACAGTGCCTGTGAAGGAAATCAGCTTAACTGTGATCTGTGTACACGATGAGTGCAGATATACATTAAAAGACAACAAACATGACCCAGTCAGGGCAACGCATGACGCTTGATACAATCCGTCGTTGTGTCTCCGCGGCCATAAAGACTCCAGGGCTATATAGACTCACCAGTGCCATTAAGCTTACACATCTGCAGCAGCTGCATTTAGTTTGAGTTGGCATTATCTTCATGGGAAAACAGAAGAGCTACGGAGCAGCAGGATTACCAGTAGTCATCCTGCAACATGTGTCGTATAACCGAGCTCCAGCGATTTAAACCTAAGACCTGTTTCTATGTCAGTGTAGCATTTGCAGTTTATTGTACTAAAAACAAGGCCACATGGTGTATTAGCCCCCGAGGCGGCTTTTAAGGTGAAAAGCATTTTGTCGCTTGATATTCCAGATCAATCTGGACACGAAGGAACCTCTACTCAGTGTAAAGATGTTTGAACCTCTGCTCAGTGTAAAGATGTTTCGTAGGACGTCCATGTTGTGTTTTTGTAACTGAAGGATTCTTTGCAGCAAAAGGATTTATTGAATATTGTAAAACCATTTTAAATGTGGGGACGAGCCACTTAAAAAGTCAGTGTGTGTACTTCAGCAGTTGTTAACCTCTCCTGAGCAACAGTTTATTTTCCTCTGTTAAGCGGTTTTCTCTCATGCTTTTATTTGAGCGCCCTCTTTTTTCTCTCTCTCTCCTCTTTATTCCTTATATCCAGCTGGTTGGGTCTCTTGGTTAGTTTAATCCTGTCAATCACACTAATAAGATTAGGCCTTACTGCTGAGATGCTAACCCTCTCGACCACTTCATACTTTCCCCTGTCTCCCTCCCCCTCCTCCCCTTCTCTGTTTTACTGTAGCTTTTGATTTCCAGATTGTATTTCACCAGGTTTAATATATAAAAGTAGAGTGGCGCTCACCAGAGCTTAAAATCACATGAAGAAAAAAAGAAAGTAGTCTGATAACCTAAATAATACATTTCTTTTTAAAACCTGATCCTAAACAGTGGACATAAAAACCAATATAACATATATTTCACTATATGTATCTGCTGAAGAGAAATGAACTTAACACAGTTTTATACAGCAACATAAAATATGTCAAATGAAAAGGCTCCAGTTTAAAAACAATAAATGTACAGATTTAAGAAAATGTTAAAGAAAGTGCCTGGATCCGCCCCTTAATCTGCATCTGCACCAAAAACTGAAAGTGTTCACCTTTTTATCTGGATCCACTTTAAAGTTTAATGGGCTCTTGCGCCACCCCTCTACAGAATTTCAAAGAAATTGGTTGTGTGGTTATTCCACAGTCCTGTTCACTAACAAACCTCCTTGGCGAAGGCGAACGTGAAGGTTTAAATTCCAGACGTTGTTTTGCCAAAGTCTTATGCAACAATTAACTGTAGAAAATGACTCCAGATCGCTTGTATGAGTGAAGGAAGGATGTTTGTATGATACAGAATGAAGAGAACACTCACCAGGTTTGACACACAGATAAAGAACAGATGAAGAAAGAAAGAAGTAAAGTTTATTCCTGGTATACTAATACTATAAGTTCACAGTTCTACGCAGACGCTGCACGGCCGAAGCCGACTGTAGGATTGGATTGAATAAAACAACAGACCCAGGAATGTGTAGTTCCTGTAACCAAAAGACTGTAATTGTATCTTTTAGCTCATTCAGTCCTGTTCCTTCTATTCAGGTCAAGACAAAAGAAGTTTGGATGTAATCTAAAACATGTGCGCTGCGCTCTACCTCACACGCCGCTGCAAGTGCGGCCCCTGAACACATCGATCTGTTTACAGTACGTTTAATCTGTGTAGCATGAACACAATGCCGTGCTTTATCGAAGATCACAAACCACCGACAAGGAGAAACGTCTTGTTCCGACGTCTCGAGTCTTTAAGCCGCTCTGGCAGAACGAGGAACTTGAAAGTGATTAAATGATTGAGATGTATGGGGGTCAGTTGTTTAGACCCCAGAGTCTGCCGCTAATTGCATCTTCTTTAATAACCAATTTCGAGTCACACCTTCCTCGATGGAGAAGATCAGCCGAGTGACCACAGGCTCAGCTGCTGATGCTCGCTGAGAGGGAAGTCATCCATCTTCATCCCGAGCTCTCACAGACAGAGCTCTAACTGGGCGGGGAGGGCGGGGGGGGGGGCAGATGGTGCTTCCGCTGCCCAGCAGTGAGTGAATTAAGTTACTTTTGACCCACAGGTCCCCGCCACATTTAAAAAGTGTTCAAAGTCGCCTTCACTATTAGTCTGGATGGCCATGTGGCAATTACTCAGAGTCTAATTAGTGGCAGAGTTATAGGACAAGGCCCATCTGTCTCTCAGAACCAGATCTGAGGAGGGTTCACCGAAGTCAGCTGCAGATATGGATTATCACACCAGCAGCAGCAGCATGCAGAGCACAGGATTATTTTATAGCTGCCACCCTGTGTGCCCTTCAGTATTTATCATATATAATGAGTCGTGATGTATTTGTAGGAAGTGGTCTGATCGTCATGATTGGCTTTTTACATTATATATATTAATTTATAACTTACAACATCTTATTATTGTTGTGAACGTGAAGCAGTGAAGAGAGTGAAGGTGACTTTCAGGTGATTTGTTATGTCAGATATTCAGTTGACTGTCCTATAAAACAAAACAAAATTAGAAAAGGTGCAAGATGAATTTTAGTTGACTGATGGATCAATTGACTTATTTGCTGCAGCTCTACGTTGTGTCTGTTGCAGCAGTTGTTGACTCTGATGCTGGAGTTGTTGAGTTGTCGAAGAGAAATCGATCTAATATGAACCACAACTGATTTTCCAGTTCAGGTTTCTGTGAGTCGAGCTTCACTGAACTTCCAGGTGAACAGCTCTTTGTGCAGCAGCGGTGGCTTCAGGCTTCTGTGGACTCAGTCTTTATCTGCGGCGCGGCTCAATTACTCCAGGTCACTTTTACAGATTCAGAAAGAAAACCACAACCAGCATCACCACAGGCCGAGAAAACAGCCCATTCCAAACAGACATGTTTAACTGCTGCACCAGTTTGATGAATGGATCAACTGACTATTTGTAAAAGTTGTGTCTATCAAACACGAAGCAGCATTGTTGACTCTTGACTTGTTGAATGGAAATGTTAGTAAAAGACAGAATCTAATCGCACTGGGTCTGACCAAAGTCAGATGAGCTGGAATGAATTCAGAGACGTGTCGTGAGATTCCTTCCGTCTGCTGGATCCTGCACCAGAGACACTTTCGCAGTCATGCGTGTCCATCCTATTCACGTACGGTGACAAATACAGAACCACACAGCGTTGCTCACAGGCTCAAAATCTGCTCCACTTTTAAAATAACTGCGTCAAAGCAACAATCGTCCATCTGTTGTGAATCAGTCAGGGGAGAGAAGACACTGTGAGTTCACTCCTCATGACTGTTACACTCAGAGTCGGATGTTTCCTGTCTTTGAAAAGCAATGGAAGTAAATTCTCTGGCTAAACTAAAATGTAATTGTGTTTACATGAAAGTGTAAGAATTACATGCGTGTATCATGAGAGCCGCTGTTTGCAATTTGTGTGGTCGTGTTCGGCACCGTGACGTCTTTTGTTTGAGCCCACTATCAGCTCGGAGGAGGGTGGGAGTCGGTGGGTGGAGGGGACATTGAAAAGAGCCGTGCAGAGAGAGAGAGAGAGAAATTAGCACATGGAGAAGGAGCTGCTGTAGAATATCCTGCCCTCAGTGACGGAGGCTGAAAGGGAGACAGCAGCAGGAGGAGACGTCTGTCACATGCAAACCTTTGTAGCTGCAGCAGAGTCTGGATGGGACGGCACCTGCAGAACAACCTGGGCTAATTTGTCATGATTACAGCAGGTAATGGAAAAAACATTTTACTGTCTAACAGGATTAAAGCGACTAGAAACTCAAACAGTCATTATGTCTGGAGATGTGAGTAATCCACAGTTTTTTTTTTTTCTTGTGTGGTTCTTTTGTGTGTCACAGCCTGACTTCATGTTGTTTTGTACACACAACTGTTCACCTGACATCACGCTCAGGTTGTGCTGTTACTCACAGGCCGATTTATTAGTGGCCACACTCGGGTCAGTCGGTGTGGGATCCAGGGGAGGGGCGAGCCAGCCTTAATCTCTGTGTTGGACAAAATTAAAATGATTTTCAATCCCCTCAGCCAAAGCTAATTAAAGCTGTTGGAGTTCAAATGAGTTTATTTCAGATCTGCACAGTCAATATTTACCTTCTCCGTACTTTTCTCCATCAGCAGTTCAACCATTGGCAAACAACATCCTCCCATTTATGTCTTCCATCATCCTGCTCCTTCATATGGACTTAAATCTGTCTCGTTATAATTATTTAATGCCTCGGTTTTATTTAATAGAAGTGCAAAATTAGTGGATTTATAGATTAGTCAGTGGACAGAGACTTGTTCTGATCATATCAGCAAAAAAGTCAAACTCAATGTTCTATGTTTTTCTCATGTGACTGTAAAGTGAATATCTGAAGGTTTTAGACTTTTTATTTTTTTAAAAAACAAAAAAACATTTTGTTTAATTTCTAAATATTCTTCCCAATTTTTTTTTTAGACCAAATAATTAATCAAGTAAATTAATCTGCAGATTAAAATCTATAGCCAGCAAACAGGAGATGCACCATCGACAACGCTCGCAGCAGCAGATGCAGCAGCAGTCTCACTCTCACTAACAGTGTTTTGGTCCAGCAAAAGATTTAGTGGCAGATTGTGGATCTCTGTCCAAAGCAGCATCTGCTGTGTCTCCTTGTTAATAACAGATAATGCTGGTTATATATTCAGTGTTGTACAGTTTCTTTGTATTTGTTTTCTGGGTGCTTTTGTCTGCACAGTTCGAATATACACAGTTAATTAATTGCATTTGTTTGTACACTTTTATTTTCGACACTGTCACTCAAATGGACGGATGTTCCCCTGCAGTGACGTTTGGGGAACTACAGGAATTAATTTATTATTTAACTAAATCATTTAATCTCTAATTTTGACTGCAGTTTGGTGAAAATGCAATTAGCCATTTACTAAATTATAAAACTTAATCAGCAGCTACCATCGAAACATCGAGCCACAATCATATCGACTTCAATATGATACTAGTGTTAAAAAACACCATTACTTTTGATACCACAATAACAAGTCTACATTTTTAATACTTTTAATACTTCTACATTTGTTTCATACTTTTTTTTTTTAAACATAATTATTTATTTACATGATATAAGAGTAAAAAGCCACGTGTTGAGGATCAGTTGATTTTCCTCCATGTTGTTTCTTTAACGCAGCCTTTGGTCGAAAATCTGATCGTAGATCTGCTTCACTACTTTTCAATTCTATCGAAAGGGAAAGTTAACAGAGATTGTATTAAAGTATTGAAGTATTTATTCTTTTAACTGTAATCAGGACAAACAAAGGTGTTTTCCCTCATTTTGAAACGTTACTAAATGATATTGCTCTTGGCTCATCTGTACCAAATGTTCACATCCTGGGGGGACAAAGCCTGGTTGTATTACATCAGAGGCTTGTGATTCAGATAATTGAACAGGACAGGGCTCAGCACAGCAGGGCTTGGTAAATTGCAGTGTTGAAATACCCTTCAGAAATGTTCTGCTGTTAAGTTTAGTGAAGTCACGAATGAAACAGCCACGTGCTGAGGAGACAGAAGATGGAAAAAAAAACCTCTCCTGGATGTTGAAAATACAAAGTACACTGCTGTGGAGACGCTGCTTCCTCATTTCTGTGTCTCTTGTATATGTAGTGAGTCCCTCTGGTTTATATTTAGGCAGCAGGCGTGTATTTAAATGTGTGTCGTGCACAAACCAGGTTTAATGTCAAGATTGAGACGTGACTTCAGACTCTCCTGCCTTTCATCCAGGTTGTCCCTGTGTCTTCTCTCGGTTACTGTATGTGAGGGATGGCGACCGCTCGTGACTAAACCTTTGCTGTAAACGCTTTCATCTTGCCGGGGAGGCCGGTGGTGTGTGTGTGGAGGAGTGGGTTACTGGTGGGGTGAGACGTGGTGCATCTGCCATCTGCCCCCCCCCCCATGCCAGGTCTCCGGCTGTGTCATCCTACCCATTTACGTAGGAATGTGCGTGGCGTCCCCCTCCCCTTCTTTTGTTAACGCACGCTCACAGAAATACAGCTGGGACCAGATCTGTGCCAACACGACTTAGCCTAAGCTGAGTGTTTACTATTATTTATATTTGCCTTGGCGATCATGGCCTTATAAGGTGCCAGGACAGGACAGCGTTCATGTGCTGTGTTATAAACATGTATTGTGTTTGGGCCTGAGAAAAGATCCTGGGATCACACAGTATTAGTTTGTGTCTCTGTTTTGTCAACTCACCGACAATTAACTTATGTTTGGTAAAGAGGGATGAGACAGAGACGTTGTTACCGACAGGAGACGATTGATCAGTCGAGCTTTCACAAACTTCACCAGTTGTGTGTGTGTGTTGTCTTTTTCGGCTGTGGGGGATGGGTGCAGGAATAAAGCAGCTTTGTGCCTTGTGAACTTGAGCCACAAGTTCCAGCTGGCAGGCTGTTATGCAACCGCAACAGAGATGTACACATGCAATACATGCTGCTGCATATGGCCACTGTGTCGCATCCATTCAAGTATACGAGACGCCGTCAGCCCGAGGTGCTTAATTCTGACTCCACCGGTCCCACACACACAAAGACACACCCACCGCCAGATTGAATGTGGCGAGGATAACGAGGGAAAGATGGGTTGTATTACGAGGCGGAGGGAGATTATTGCTCCCATCTTCACCTCCCTCTCTTAACTGCCACGGGATTGACAGCCTGGCTTATACCCGTGACCTCGTTTCCTCCTCGTTCAGTAGAGATAAATGGTTCTGGAGAGATGATGGCGAGAGGAGGGCATGAAGTTTTGTTCTCTTTGTGACAACTGTTGTATCAGTAATTTCTGGCAGCGGGGAGTCTGGTTGAGTCAACCTGAAGAATGTGTGTGGGCTGGTTTGTGACATGTTGTCTCGAAGTCTGTTCATGAAACAAGCTGTGGGAGTGGCTGCATGAATATTGTGTTTTTATATATATGCAGATAACTCAAGTGTTTAGGTTTGTTTTAGGAGCTCGCTTCACTGCTTCACCAGAATGACACGTGTAGAGCACATGCCTCCACCAAGGCCAAACACCCCCATCAAGATCCATGAACAACTCACAAATCTAGAGAAAGTGAAAAAGAATCTGCACCCTAATCTGGATCCACAACTAAATTTAATGAGCTCTTCCTTGGGTCATGTTCAGCCTCTCCACAAAATTCAGTTCACTAGTTTTTGCTTAATCCTGCAACAAACAAACAAACACAGAGGAAACATAACCTCCTTGGTGGTGGTGATAAAAATATTTGATATATTTTCTTTTTTTTTCCTGATTTCTCAGCTCTCAGAAAATAGCAGATGACATAACTTGAAAGTCTTGAATCAGATTCAGAGTCTAACACTGTGTCTCACACCTGAAGTACCTGAAGCACCAGGAGAACCCGCCTGTCATCCTGTATTTATTGAAAGATTTGACATTTGATCAGTTTTTGGCTTGTGTTGTAAATCTATAGGAAAAAAAAAAAAAAGTCCCCGGGGCTGAAGTGTAACACTGTCCCTGTCTCCACAGGAAAATCTGCGTGCACTGCAAGTGTGTGCGAGAGGAGCACGCTGTGCGCTCTGTCCCGGGACAGCTGGAGAAGATGATGACAAAGCTGGTATCAGACTTCCAGAGACACTCCATCTCCGACGACGACTCGGGCTGTGCCTCCGAGGAGTACGCATGGGTCCCGCCGGGGCTCAAGCCAGAACAGGTAACAGCCAGGGTGCAGAGAGGAGAGCATGAACGAAGGAGAGGGATCCTCACAGGTAGTTGAGGGTTAAGAACAGAGGAGGTCGCAGCTTGTTAAGCTCTATGAGACAAATAGTGAATATGGGTTATACAATTAACACTTGATTGATGATTGATTGCTTTATATTTGACGTGTCTGCACAGGAACTCAATTCGATCATAAGAACAACTATTCAGTCTTTTTTTTTTTAATAACAGCAGTCAAATGATTTCTCTCTTTATATCTGGGATTTATGTCTGTTTGTGAACTTGTCTCCTCATGCAGGTGTACCAGTATTTTAGCTGCTTACCAGAGGACAGGGTTCCTTATGTGAACAGTCCGGGGGAGAGGTACCGGATCAAACAACTGCTGCACCAGCTGCCGGCTCATGACAGTGAGGTAACGGCCACTTTACATCTGTGACTGTGGATGTTTACAGATGTTGAAGTCCAGACATTTTATGGAACTCCTGGAAAAATGTCCAGAAAATGTCCGATGTGAGAGAACCGCAGGAAAATGGTCTGATAAATAACAGTGAGCGAGAGCGACAGAAGTGAAACTGGAAGAACAAAAAGAAAAGAGAATATTCACGTTAATAGAAACATCAATTAATCAGGACAGTGATTCATTATTGTTTCTCTACATCAATTTTATATTTAACCCCAATAGTCTGTTAAATGTCTTGACACCTTGAAAACAAGTTGATGCATCTTAAAATCCTGTTTGTTATATATTGTAGAACTGTGACTGCTAGTTTTAATCCATCTTACTGAAGAAACCATTTTTGAATATAATTGTCAACAAGAATTTCCTCGTGTTTCCACAGCTGCAGTACTGCAACGCTCTGGACGAGGAGGAGAAGAAGGAGCTGCGTCTGTTTAGTCAACAGAGGAAAAAAGAAAACCTGGGCAGAGGCGTTGTCAGGCTCTTCCCAGTAACTATGATGGGAGCCAAGTGTCAACAGGTGAGGCAGGATTTTTTGATATGAAGATTCCGTCATGAGACCGATGTGAAGCTTAAATCAACAGTTTCCCTGTGTAACATTGAAGCACGGATCTAAAACCACATTAAAAGGACTGAAGCATGTAGGTGCAGGCACAGCTCGAGGGCCACATCACACTGGCATTTAATGATTACAGGGCTGTAAAAGCAAAGTGCTGCGCGACCTGGAGCGCTCACCAGGATATACACTTCCTCTCTTTCTGCACCACACCTCACACACCCAACAAAATGTGTTTTTCCAGTGTGGCCGACAGATCTGCGGCGGAGACATAGCGGTGTTTGCCAATCGGGCCGGACACGGCAGCTGCTGGCACCCTCAGTGTTTCCAGTGCGCCTCGTGCACTGAGCTGCTGGTGGATCTGATCTACTTCTACCAGGACGGACAGATCTACTGCGGCCGGCACCACGCTGAGAGGCTCAAGCCCCGCTGCCAGGCCTGCGATGAGGTGATTGTCTCACCAGGATCCACAACCTGTCTGATTAAACTCTGATGAACATTAGGTCTCTTACAGCAAAGAGTACTCACACTCTTTAATTTGCAAAGTTCGAATCTCTTTCGGCTCATGCTTCCATTCTGTCGTCTGCTGAAAACTGAACATTGTTCATTTAAAAACTTGAGTATTTTTGTTTAAAGGTAAAATGTGAAGAAAGATCCTTTACTATCAGTGTATTTCATCACTTCCTTTGGTCAGTTCAGTGTTATTTGTCTGTCTCTTCTTGTTTTGAATGACCTTTCACTGTGACTCTAGAGATTAGCTGACGTGGTTGACTAATGGATCTGGCAGGAGTGACCACGGGTCAGAGTTCTTTAGACCCAGAGGACGACTAAGCCTGCGACCAGAGCATCTTTTCTCCCCCTGCCTCTCAAACCCAAACCTTCAGTTTATTTCTGTGCAGATGAGCTCATCACTGCGGTTCTGACTGACCTCTGTCTCTGACTTCAGATTATTCTCGCGGATGAATGCACGGAGGCAGAAGGACGATATTGGCACATGAAGCACTTCTGTTGTTTCGAGTGTGAGGCTGCTCTCGGCGGCCAGCGTTACATCATGAAAGAGAGTCGACCGTACTGCTGCTCCTGCTACGAGTCCATGTATGCGGAGTACTGCGATACCTGCGGAGAACACATAGGTACTGCAGTCTGAAGAAACACATTTACAGCTGTTTCAATGCAGCCAATGTCAAACTGAGTTTCTCTTATTAGCAGCTGTTGATAAGCAAAATATAATATAGATGCCTTGAGACTTAAAGTTAAAATGTATGTAGAAGTTATTCTGCAATTGTAAAATCTCCCATGAGGACATATTTAATATTATTACAGTTGTGTTACACTTTAGAGTTATTTCTTATCTTTCGATGCAGCAGTCTGCAGTTCTGAGTGTTAACAAATACATTAATAAACACATCAGTCAAACCATTTAGTTACCATTTCCTGGTAAGAAACCGAATAATCAGGATTTCATTACCATCTTTATTAAAAGGTCAATAGAATTAGTCCCTTTCATGTTTGATTCTTGTTTGATTAAACTCCTGAGTCACTTTTACATAAAATGTCATGACAATAATCTAAATAAATAACGCTACAACAGACCGGGACAGAAACATATCATCATTGGTGGAGGTAATTAAACGCTTGTCTTCTTCAGAGTCCTCCACCAGTGAATCATTTGATTATTATATTTTTGGCTGTGTGTCACAAATAGTTAAAATATGGCTGACGTACTGAATTCTATGTGTATACTCACACTGAGATAACAGAAGACACAAAAGTTGTGTGTAGTCATGAAATCATTTGCTCTCAGGTATCGACCAGGGTCAGATGACGTACGAGGGTCAGCACTGGCACGCTGTGGAGTCGTGTTTCTGCTGCGCCCGCTGTCAGCTGCCTCTCCTGGGACGTCCCTTCCTCCCTCGAGCGGGGCTCATCTTCTGCTCCAGGCCGTGCTCGCTGGGCGAAGACCCCAATAACTCCGACTCGTGCGACTCAGCGCTGCAGAGCAGACCGCCTCAGCACAGCAGACACTGCGGGACGGCAGAGAAACACCAGCAATGTGGTTCCCCGCTGAAGCCACCAGAGGGCATCACTATAACTGCAAAAGACTGCATTCATACTGCAGTGGAGAACAGGGGTGAGCATGAAAACCATGTGAATTAAAATATTCCTATATTCTCCCAGTATTCCAACTCACGTCTTTGCTCTGCCTCTCTCAGGCGTCCACTCTGCTCCAGTTCAAAACGGACTTCCTGCTCCCAGTGGTCACGCTCATCCAAGAGGCTCCTACTCACCTCTTCCCCACATTCATCTAGGAAATGGTTTGGGTCCATCTTGGCCCAGCGACCTCCCTCATTACAGTTTACTGCCGGAGAACTGTGGTGTCAGACCTCCAGTCGGTGGTCTGCAGCAAAATGAAAACACCGGACTAACCGGTCTGAATTCAAGAGGAACCTCCACCGCTAAAGACTGCAGAAACTGGGTGGAGAGGACGAATCAAGTTATGCAAGGTATCAGAAATCCCTCCTGAGTGCTGATTATTTATATTCACTAACAGTAACTAAAGTGTTTTAACTCCTGTTCTCTTCGTCCTCAGCGTTTCCTCCCCACAAAAACTCACTTGTGAACCCCCTCGTTTCGCCCGACACTCCTCCCCTTCCTCTCAACAACCCGTCCACCCTCCCGCCTCCTCTTCCGGTCAAGACTCGTGACCTGATACCCAGCGAGTCGCCCCCTCCGAACCTCCGGCATCTAGAGGACAGACCCGAGGATCCCCCGCCCTCGCTGGCTCGCAGTGGCACAGCCAGAGTCAGCTTCAGAGAACCAATCAGCAGCAGCTACTCTGTGGACGAGGACGAGGATGAGGAGGAGAATGAAGAGGAGCTGCGGGAGGGCGAGGAGGGCCAGCAGGTGGAAGAGGAGGTGGAGGGAGGTTTTGGAAGCAGGTTGAATCTGCAGAAAGGTATCCCGCCGCAGATGGATCTACTGGGTAAGCAAAACTTTCAGAGTGAAATATTAACTCGCTTTAAATCTGGAAATCAACTTGATTTTCTCTCTTTTTTTCTCAACCAGACGGATCCTCTTACCATCAGCGGAATCTGAGGCGAGGGGGGAATCGTTGCCGTGTCCCATCTGACCCCAGTCTCCATCCAGGCTCGGAGAGGCGACCCCGGCGCTCGCGGACCGATCGGCCCCAGCTGGACACGCTGGACTGGAGAGGCGAGAAAGACACGGACGGCCGGGGCTGCTCCAGTGTTCCCTCACTAAGTCTCCAGCCGGGCCACTACAAACACGAGGACACCTGCTCCACCTGTTCCTCGTCCTCAGACTCGGAGGAAGACGGATTCTTCCTGGGACAGCCGATCCCTCTGCCCCCGCAGCTCAGAAAACAGCAGCCTGACGGGGGCGAGGAGAGGGAGGGGGAGCAGGAGAAGGAGGTGCAGAGAGACTCGGGGCTGAGAGGAAGCTTTAGGCGGAGGAGAGCTCACAGTCTCAGTGCAAAGGACAAAGATAAAAACTGTGCTATTTCTTAACAGAAAGCAACATGGACACACAGCCTCTCACTTACTGACTGGTGCTGCTCAAGAGTAACTAACGGCCTTTTCATTATTCTGGTCTCCAAGTTTTATGATGGTGTTAAACACAAAACTCAAGCACAGACTTTTCCAAAGGTGAACCTCGGCCATCGAGGAAGAGAAGTGAGCTCCATCCACATGAATATGTTTTCATTTTAAAAGAAATCACCACAAGAAAAGAAATCTCTGCTTCTACTTCTCATCGCTTTGTCCCTTGTTTGTAGTATTTCCTGTAACCAAGCAACCGACTGCAAATAGACTGACTATCTGCTTCCTGTACACACCAGCACGCACATGCTAAGCGTACGTGAATGGTCATGTGATGTGCGTTTTCAGGTGCATTAATATGGATGTAGATTACTTCTGATACGAAGATAATTGTTTGGATGGAGATCGTTTATCCATTATTGTCTTTTCAAAACTTGAATGATCTCCGCCCAGATGTTCGGTATGAATTCCCGTAAAGCACCATTTAAAAATAAAAACGTATTTGTATGGATGCAGCATAAACCTCCGAAAAGTCCAACTTCTCTGTCCAGTGTCACGTGGTGCAAGAATCATGTGAGTGCAGATGGAGGTTGATTAATTATTGGTTATGATTTTAATTGAAAACACTCAGACCTGTTACAGTTTAATCTCACCGCTCGTTATCGTCAACATCATTTACATGAAGCACCAGGAACCGACGGCACATTCCAACATTACTGTTTGTGAAAATTAATAACATGTTATTATTACTCTGCTCTACCATTCTCTGTGCTCTTATGTGCAATTTTATATGGTTGTAATATATTACAGTAAAGAAAAGTAAATGGCCAAATAGTATGTGGAGGATGATTACTTCAGCAACCTGTGGGAGTTTTATACGATCAGAATTCACTGTGTGTGTTGAACAGTTAATATAAACCACATTTAAAGTCTCTAATCATGTACGAAGGTCATTTATTTTTATATACAGGAACTTGGTGTAGGTCACTGGTCCGTCTTGTTTTATTACTGAGATGATGATTGAATGTGAAAGAAACTTATGGTGACATTAAATTTGTTTAAATTGTTGGTGTAAAAGTGTTGTTGTTGTTTTTTCTCATATATACAGACTTTTGAAGAGTAAATAATAAAGTGTAGGTTCATTGTTATTCCAGCAGTACCAGAGTGTAACTACGTACATTTAGTCCAGAACAGGAAGTAAAAAAAAAAAAATCAAGATACTTTACTGGATTATTTTCCTCTCACGCCACTTTAATACTTCTACTCCAATACGAACACATGGACACTTAATATGTGATTATGAATTATAATAGTTTAAATTACCCAACAGTACATATAAGAGGAGCTGAAACATTTAGTTGATTTAATAGAAAACTGACCGACCACGATTGTTGATCTTGTTTTCATTTTTAAACATATGAACAAAATTGAATGGGTTCTTTTCTGATCCCACATCCTTTCACCAAGTTTCATGATTATCTGCTCAGTTTATCTGGTTACTCTTTTAATCTAATTTATTGTCTCATGTAATTTACTTATTTTATTCTCATTTCTATTCTTATTACTATCAGGCACAGGTTCTGCATTACTGCGTATATACTTTATACTTTTACATTCACTATTATTTATTTGATGCTGTAATCTTAGAGCAAGTGGTACAAGAAAGTCTGATCTTAACGTATCTTATCTTATAGTATTGTATCGTATTTTATGGTATCTTTACTTGAAGGAAGCATAATAATCATTAGTTGTTATTGAATATGGTTAAAAATGCATCTTAGCTGCAGCAGCAAAGTTTTATAATAATGTATTTGTATAAAACATCATACTAAGAACTTTAGGTATTGGTATTTTAACTCCTGTTTACTCTGATCTAGATCCTGTTTAGTCTTGTGTGATACTTCATGTGTGATACTCAATGTGTGATACTTCATGTGTGATACTTTGTGTAAGTACTCAGAAGTCCATTCTTCCTCCACTGGTTCAAATTGAAACTCATTATCTCTCCTCTCTGAGTCATGTGGCCTCAGGAGTCAGTGGCGCTTCCCTGCAGCAGAGTGAAAGGACCAATGGGAGAGAGGAGGCGGGCTCGGCAGCAGCACACATGAGTTGTCAAACAGGTTTGTCTTGAGCTGCTTCAAACACACTCTCCCACACGTCTGTCTCTGCCTCTGAGAGATCACTGGACCCACAGGAGAAATGCAGGAGTGGCAGAGGAGCTGGACAGGAGGTGAGTGTTCTGTTCAGATGCCATAAAGAAAAAAAATCAGTAATCTGCCTCAGAAACGAACCTGCAGCTTCACACCAGCAGACCTGAGCTTGTCAGGGCAGGAGCAGAGTGAGGGCCTTGGCTCTGCAGCACAGACAGGCCCAGCTCTCTGTTGTTTACCTGCCTTTTGTGTTTCTGTGTCATTAGTCTCTGGCTTCCTGCTTCGTCTCGTGTGTGTCATTTGCTCCCAGCGGCTGAACGTGCTGCCTCCTGCCTCAGAAACACCAAATTGGATGCTCTATTTTTGTTTGTCTGACCCACCTCTCGACATTCCTCTTCGGTTTGTAACACAGCAGCCGGCCTGCTTTCTTAAATGACGTGTCACACTGCTGGTCGTCTATTCTGGCGAAGGGAGTTTCCTTTCACAAACTGGAGAGATCCCAGGACGTGGAGCCAGGTGAGAGCGGAGGGACGAGGGGGTTTCACAGCTCTGTCAGCAGGAGTTAGGCCCAGCTCAGACTGGAATTGCAAATATGTGGAGAATGTGAGTGGCAGATGCAGAGTGTGAGGCGAAGCTGAAACACGCACGGGGTCTTAAGTATACATGCAGACGTTCAGAGTATTTACCCAGTTCATTCATGTGACCTTCACCTCATAACAACACAAACTGAGGAGAGTTAACAGCTTCTCCTTTTGACTTTATTTCACCCACAGAGGTTTGTATCTGGCTGCAGACCCTGGCAACTGGCTGCTTTATTTAAAGATGAGGAGTCATTGTTCCCAGAGCAGCTGTGAGTGTGTGTGAGTGTGTGTGAGTGTGTGTGTGTGTGTGAGTGTGTGTGTGTTGCCTCCAGACAATAGCTCGTTGTCAGCTGGACACTTCCCCATCACCCGTCTCACACACTCTCCTGCCGCTCTTTTCATAGACCTTCCACTGACTGAACATGAAGTGTCACTTATATTGTGCGTTTGTCTGCGAGGAGATGGATGACTGCGACTTATTGTGCTCGCGGCCAATGAACTTAGAGGATGGACAAGGCGTCAAGGGGGGGGGGGGGGGGATTGGCTGCGGCCTTAAGGGAGGGGGGGTCTGTGTGGAGGTGCTAGTATCATTATAAGTGTCTGTAAAAGAGATTTTAGTGACTTCTTAATTGAGCTGTCTGTCCTCTTCCTTCTCTCCTGACTGACGTGTCTCTCTCTTGCAGGACGTCCACATGTCCAGGAGCTAGAGTTCGTCTGAGGCGCTGCAGTAGCATCTCTTCAGAAATGGACTGGAGCTGATGGAGCTGCACCGAGGAACAAATAAAGGATAGAATTTCATTGTCAGCAGGTGGTTGAAGAAAACAAACTGTGACACTGACGGGTTGTAGTTTTACAAAATGCCCGTGGAGTCTGTGCAACGCCCAGTGAGGAAACCAGCGAGGACTGCTGTAGCTGCTGCGCCCCCACGCTTGCGGCCCAAGGGGCCAGTGGGTCGGCAATGCCCGACGCCGGAGGCCAAACCAAAGCAGAGCGCAGTGGAGAGGCTGGAGGCCGACAAGGCTAAATATGTCAAGAGTCAGGGGGCTCTTTCTAAGCAGCAGCCGGTCAGGCCTCCTGAAGTGCGGAGGCCCCTGCTGAGCCCCGGCACCACCCTGCGTCCCACCAGGAAGACCACGACCCAGACAAAAGCAAGGCAGGAGGCCCTCCCGCTCGACTTGGAGCACCTGAGTAACCTCATCAGCGGAGTGAATGATGGACCCCAGTCCAGTGCCACTGCGAGCTCAGAGGACAGTGAAGCTCCCGGTTGCACCAGCTCTCCTCGCTCCACACCCACAGAGACGCAGCAGAAAAAAGAGAGGCCGTGTCCCCCTCCTCGTCCCGACTGGTCCAGTCCAGCGAAGGTGAGATTAAAAGCCTCAGGACCTGTCAGGGCGGAGATGTCAGGCTCTCCTGGATCTCCGGCTGCAGGGACCGTCCGCAGAGTGGACGTCATGCCTCAGGCCAGCCCTGTGAGGACGCCCTGCAGGCCGCCCCAGTTCATGCGGCAGCCCCTTCAGCCCATCCCTCAGCATCCCCAGTTTCCACTCCGCCCGGCCGTTTCACACCTGCGTCTCTTCCACTCGAGAACAACACCAGCTTCTTCTCCTCTGAAGCCGGTTGTTGCCAAACCTGACAACCCTCCCTCCTCTCCTGCTAAAGCCCCCGTCCCTGCTCCACCTCCCCCCACCTTCACCTTATTCCCCCCTGCCTCCCCAGCGATTACACGTTTGTCCTCCTCCAGCTCTCGGAAACGCCCGTCTCTGACCCGGTCTAAATCAGACATGAGTGACAGATACTCCAGAGCTGGGACGGAGCTGGAGCGCTTCTTCAAACTGTGCGGTCTGGACCCTGCGGACCTGCAGGACATGCCTGGATCCAGCTCTGATATCGTTTCCCTCGCCCGGTTTCGCAGTGTGAGTGCCCCGGGGTCTGAGTGTGCAGGCTCAGGTAGAGGAGACGACGATGATGATGATGGGGAGGATGCTGGGAATATCGCAGAGCGTGTTCCCTACGGTGTTTCTGTCATCGAGAGAAATGCAAGAGTGATTAAATGGCTGTATGGGCTCCGTCAGGCCAAGGACAATGTTAGTAAGAGCACCAATTTATAGGACGGCGTGAAAGGTTTTGAAACTAAAGTAGAACATGAAGTCAAACTTGATGAAACTGATGAGTGACTGACTCTGAGGTGAAAAAGTGAGTGATGCAATTTGTCTGTGAAGTAAATCACTCCGGGTTGATCCTTTTTTTCAAAATTAGAATTTGTTGAATATTTGTTACTGAGGTCAGTTTTATTTTGAGTTTTTGTTTTATTTGGATCATTTTTTGGGTCTTTTTTTGTTTGTTGAGTCTCATAATGTGGCTGTGAACCTCATTATCCTAGTTTTTTGTTTATTGACGTTTGAATTCACGTCTGATCCGCATCCTGCTGTAACTGGACCTCATTAAAGACAATTGAATGAGCATCTTGATTGGACGTCTCTGTCGTGTGTGTTTAAAGAGTCACACAAAGAGCAGACGCGTTTCTCACCGGCAGAAACATCAGGTGATCCAACAACCTCCGAGGTGGGGAGGAGGTGGGGAGGAGGTTATGTTCTCACCAGAGCTTGTTTGTTCATAAACAGGATTACACAAAAACAAAGCAAACAGACAGAACACATTACATTTTGGGTCGGATGGATTAAGAGGTTATATTTTATGATAAATCAATCACTCATAGGAGACCACCTCTTTTTATTCTTTTATGTTTCTGCTGTAAGAACTCGTGTGTAGGATTGTTTGGCCTTGGCGGAGGAATGTGATTTTATGAGTGTCATTCTAGTTACACATTGATTTACCAGCCTGGTGTGAAACACTGAAGCTTTTCCTCCAAAGGAGTCAGAGCACAAGGTCAACACTTCTGACTTTTTAAAATGAAAGCGAAATCTTATGCTAATGTGATTCTGTAAAACAGCTACAAACCTGTTCTTCAGTTTCATGATGATAGTGTTCATTTTGTTTTTATGAAACCGTCGGGGAGAAAAACGACATCAACAAGCTTCAGTTGATGAGGGGAAGTTTCACTCATGTTCCACAAGAGGTCAGAGGAGTCCATGCTGACACGTTCAGATCCACAGTACACAGTTCAATGGAAAGTTTCTTCTTGAAACTCCAGTAAAAACAAAAGTATCCACTCTTGGAATCGTTAAAGATCTTCTGAAATGCTGCTCCTATAAATGAGTGGATCTGTGGTTTGATGTAGAACCAGGAGAACGTGTTGGAACTGAAACGTCAGTCTACGACAATCGAATAATCCAAAATCTGAGATACACAGAAAAAGTTCATACACTTTTTCCATCGAGTAATTCCCCCCATGAAAAATAAAAGCCTATCTCTAATTGACCTGTGCTTGAATAGAATCCATTG